TTGGGTGGAATTTGCTATAAGAGGAATGAAACGAGCAATTCTGATATTTCATCTATTTTAAGTTCCACAGGAGATGGCCCCCAGTTTCCACCTTGTGAGACAAACTGCAGGCAGTAGTACCATGCAGTGCCACCTCTGTGTCCCTACATATTTATAATCACATATAGCAGGGACAAGGATTCCTGTGTAGCTCTCCTCCTCCATTCAATACCAGATTTAAAAAAAAAAAAAAAAGCATCAGTTGATGCATTTAGGCACCCTTAGGTAACATGCACTGAATGGGAATGTTCCTTGCAGAATTTAAGAAGTGTCCCAACCCCACCCACCCTAACAGCTGCATGGTGGTTTAAGGATGAACATTAACTATGAGCTTGATTAACCATGCATGCATGAGCAGTGAAAACTTCCTTAACTTAGAATGCTTAAAGAAAGTACCTAACTAAAAACATAAACCAGTATCAGAAGGCCAACAGATGAAGAACATCCGTCTCAAAACTGCCTCAAGTCAGCAAAAACCCAAATAATTTTTTTCACTAGAAAATGTGAAATAGTCGAGAACTATTTTCTTATGAAACCAAGCAGTGGTGTTCACTCTCCTTGCATAAATGTTACATGCTAAACCTTTTTAAGATGTAAAAACAAAAGCCACTTTAGCAAAATTCACCTTCAGGCATTTATAACCAATGAGAGTTAAAAGGCAGGCTGCCCTCAGGGAAGCTGGTGACTAACACCTATCAACCCTATAAATACTCTCAGAATGCAGAAAGGCACTGTGAGAAGCAGGTGAATGGGAGTTGCGGTCATCTTTGCTGAGATGCAGTCTAAAAGCAGACATTTCCAGCCATTTTAGAAGGGTATTTCCTGGAATACTTGAAATTAGAATATTTTTCTTCTGACTCCAGTGAAGGAGAAATGTTCAATTAAAGGTAACGGCAAAAATCAACACTGAACCTTAAATCTTCGAACTGTAGCTTACCCCTTAACACTTCACTGCATCAACTAGGTGGCAAGTGTAAAGTCTGCATTATTTCACTAACAAAGATCAAACAGGACTAAAATAAGCAACACAGGGTGCATCTACATGTGCACTTTACTATGGAGTTGACTAATTAGCTCTGCAGTACTGTCACAGTCTACACGTATGCCAGTATTAGGGTGCAGTAAATTAATTAACCTGACTGTAGGATAGTACTGTTGGGAACAGTACTGTCCTGTGGCAGAATAATTTACTCCACTGAAACATACATGTAGACAATGACAGGGGCTGGCTGGGGTACAAGGGTGCTAAAGTGCCGGGGCTGCCTGCCACCTAGTCTTGTACTGTAGTACCCTTGTGCCCTAGCCAGCACCTCCATCAGCCAATGCCACCACCTGGAGCCCAGGGCTGACCCCCACCCCAGCCCTCCTGCCAGCCCAGGGCTGCTCTGCCTCAGCTCCAAGTGTTGTGGTCCTGGGCAAACTCTGCTGTCATTCATTTCTTCACACTAACAACACATGTAGATGTACCCACAGAGTGCTAAGTTTCTTAACTGAAAATTACCTTAAGAAATTTGATGTGCAAAATGCTGCAACTCTGGGGAGACAAAGCTACATCCATAATGGAAAGATTACTATTCAATTAAAATGTATTACTAATTTTTTCTGCCATCTCTCCTCCTGTCCCATTTCACCAATTCATTATATACTTCAAATTTCTGTTCTCCCATCCTCCTCTTTTACCTAGAGTTCCCATTTCCTTAGAAGACAAGTTATTACCCTTCTGCCCTCTCTACCCTCATCTTCCCAACAGCATTTCTCCTCCCTCCCACCAAAAACTCCAATGGTTTTTTAATCCCATGGTCATCATCCTAATCTTTGCTCTTTTACTCCCCATTTCCTCTCCCTTTGGCAGCTTCATGTCTTACTTTTGTAGCACATTTTCCTTCGTTTGAAATTTAACACTGTGATATTTTTTGAGGAATTTACTGTCAAGTTGAGCTGCATTAGTATCGTAACCTCAGAGTCTAGTCTGCCAGTGCAGGAGATTTCAACCCGAAACACTGCAAAAACAAAGAATAAGACAAGCTTTTTTAAAGTGCATGTCAACCATTTATTTTATAAAGCAATGTTTAAATGATAGGAGTTAAAAAGGACAACATTTTTCAAGCACTTTAATTGAGAAAACATCACTTGGGTCTTTAGATCTTGTGATTTCTGGGAAATCTATTACAGTGGGTGCAGTCAACTAGATTTAGTTACATAAACCATAGTAAAGCTCAAAGACTGCAAACACACAAGAAGTCTCTATAGTGACTTGCTAGACACTGCAGTTACCAAGCACTTAAATCAATCAGTTGAGGCAGAAGCTCAGATGTGTCCTGCTATCGCTGTAGTTCAAAACAGAAGTGCTTGATTTCTCCGCCTAACTTCCCTCACTTTTTAGAACCAACAAGGCAGTCTTTTCACAGCAGCCAAGCTGGAAAATTCTGGTCTCAGAAAGGCTGTCTGGGAACAAAGCTTAAAATTAATGTGACTAGATTTGCCTTCTAGGCGATGTACCAACATCCCTGATGTCAGCACAACTGCAAAAACAACAAGCCTGATATTCCACTGCCTTTACAAAGGAAACATGACACAGACAGCAATATGCCAGGATTTTACATCCATTGTGAACAAAAGCCCCAATGTTACTTTACTGCAGTAGTGACAAAAACACTTGAGCATATTCTTGCACAAACTAGGCAAGTTTTTCCCCTAATAGTTTTGAGGGGGTGGGGGCAGAATATTCTTGAGCCGACTTCTTTACAAATGCACAGTACTATCCCTTGGTGCCAATTAGCACTGTGTTTCTTAAAAAAAGAGATAAGGTGAAGTCATTATTTAATATATATTTATACATGCTTATAAAATCCTTGTGCAACTGTAAAACTTTAACAACTCTGGATATACACATGATAAACAGCAACTGAAAGCATAATTCATTAATTTTTAACACAATACAGCTCAAATTTCTAGACTTCAACGTAACTGCCATCTTTTGTGATACATCATTCAATCTAATCCTTCAATTTGTAGAAAACATTTTCCAGTTGCTGCTGAGTGATTTCATGAATTACATTTGTGATCCTTACCCTATGCATAGCTTATTCTATGCTAAAAAACTTAATGAATCATGCTTTCAATAGCCATTTACAGTTTGCTTCTATCATGTGTATATCCAAAATGATTGAAGTTTAAAGTTGCGCAAGGATTTTATAAACACCCTGTATATGTTACAAAGTAAGTTTACAATCCGGTGCATCTGTTAGCTGCGATAGCGAGACTGGACTATAACTTTACATATATTATGGAAATGTCATGCTTTTCTTTAGGGAACAGTTATAGCTTTTCCCCAAAAACGGGAAACAAGATTCATTCCCAAGCACAACAGGAATCTTGATTTACATTCTTACTGGAAAAGAATTATAACTGCTGTGCCTTATCATCTACAGCTAAACTTGTGTGAGAATATACTACTGGCATTCTTAAGAAAGTATTGTGCTATCATGGTGCTTGTGCCTTCAATGAAGGAAGTCAGTTTACTCACCTGATAACGTGCGAGGGACCTCTCCTTGTAAAGAAATATTGGCCTGGGGCATATCCATAGCCATAGGATTATCTACCTGAAATCCCAGTTTATATTCAACCTGTAACAGCATGTTGGAAACTGTTAAGAAACCCAGATGTAAAGGAATTTGATAACACTGATAAAAAGAATTAGTATGTGCACATTTTCTAGCTTTAGCTTGAATAAATTATGGGTTATTTCTGAAAAACAATACCGACAGGTAATTTTGTGTGCCCAAGATCAAGGTATTTAAAAGAAGTTCAATTATAACACAGCAGGCTACTAAGCACTGTGACTGCCAGGATCCTTTAAATGATTTCAAATTGGGCATTAAAGAGGACAAAAATACTTAAAAAAAACCCCAAAATCACTAAGCACTTTTGCAAATTAGGTTGGAGAAGATTTAACAATTCTTAAAATGCTTAACATAGGGCTAATTAACTCATGTTATTGCACTACATTTACCAGTCGAAAGCCAAATCATTAATACACTAAGGGAATTAAGAAATAAAGTTCTCACTCATTTACTAAGTCTCCAGTTATAAGGTAAACAACCAAAACAGTATAAAATGTCAATAATAAGCAATGTTCTCTTTCCACCTGAAGAATCTGAACCTGCAAACACTTTCGTACAAGAAAGAAAAGGGCTGTACAAATAATGTATAGTCAATTCCCTTCAGAATCTCATCTTTGCCATTAGATTCAGGCAAGGTCTTTCTAGGATCTTTTTGTTGGACTCATCTGAATTAGTTTAAGTCAGTACATCATGAAGGAATGAGCTGAGCAAGTCTTAAAGCCACCACCACCATGATTTCAGCATCATGTTTTAAAAGATGCAGAAAAAACTGAAGAGTATCTAGAGGCCATCATAAAACAAAAACAAAAAAGTGATAAATGGATAGGAAAGCAAGACATATGAAGAAGAGCTGAAGAAACTGAGTCTAGTTTGGAGAAAGGGCTGAAGGGTAGGGTGGGAATGGAGAGGGAGGACATTGAAAACTTGTTACAGCAGCATTTCAAATATTTGAAAGTATAGTTCTTCCTTGCCCCAGAGAGCAGGGTAAGAGACAATAGGTCTAAAAATAGCAGCAAAGCAGATTTAGATCAAATCTCAAGCAAACATCATTAGCTGCAAGAAAAGTAGGCTAACTGAACAAGCTACCTAGGGAAGTTGTAGAATCATAGAAAATGAGGATTGGAAGGGAGCTCAGGAAGTCATCTAGTTCAACCCCCTGCTCAAAGCAGGACCAGCCCCAACTAGATCATCCCCACAAAGAAATTAGTCTAGCCGAGCCTTCAAAACCTCCAAGAAGGGAGATTTTACAACCTCTCTGGGAGTATGTTCCAGTGCTTTACTACCCTCCTAGTGAAAAAGATTTTCCTAATATCTAACCCAGGGGTGGGCAAAATATAGCCTGTAGGCCAGATCCAGCCCACCAACTGAGTGAATCCAGCAAGGGCATGGGCACTGGCCAACTGATTGTATCCAATCCAGATGCCCCTGTGGTGCTCTGCACGGGGCTGAGCCCCATCAGCTCCCACATGGGACAGCCTGCCCTGCACCCACAGACAAAACCCAGGCCAGTGTGCACAGCTTCCCAGCAGGGCTGCTCCTGGCGCAGCTGCAGCTGCCCAGATACTGCTTGCACCCTCCCCCCGGCCACCCAGCAATCCTTCCTCCTCCTCTGCCCCTGCAGTGCCACTCTGGGCAGCAGACAGCACTACTCAAGAAAATCATATATCAAGACAAAAAATTTTTTTTTTTTTTTAAATAAAATTAAAATATGTTACAGTTTGACCCCCATCTTGTCCAGACTAAATAAGCCCAGTTCCCTCAGCCTCTCCTCAGAAGTCACATGGCTCCAGTCCCCAAACCATTTTTGTTGCCCTCTGCTGGACTTTTCCAATTTGTTCACATCCTTTCTGTAGTGGGGGCCCAAAACTGGGCACAGGACTTCAGATGTGACCTCACCAATGCTGAATAGAGGGGAATAATTACTTACCTCGCTTTGCTGGCAATGCTCCTATTAATGTAGCCCAGCATGCCATTAGCTTTTTTTGTAACAAGAGCACACTGTCACCACCGGCAAGTATCCTAGTCTGTGGCTTCAGATACACCCAAATCCATGACAATCCATCTATGTGCAAGCCCCAAGCCTAGAGGCATTGGAGTTCAAATGCCCCCTAGTCTCGCTTGCCCTTAGCCAAAAGGCCAAAGGAGCAAGCTAGGGGGAAAGCCTGATCACCATAAATTGTGTAGCCGAGATCCTTGTATTTGGAGGCCTTTGTAGACTCACAGGGGTCAGCCTGCCTGCAGTGCAAGAGTCAGGCCTTCACCCTCTAACTACACTCAAGTCATTCAAGGCTGAGAAGACAGCATCTCTCCTGCCAGGTAAGTTGGCTCATATTCAGTTTATGCTCCACTGGAGGTTGTCAATAAGAGGCTGGCTAGGCATCTGGCTAAAAGGATTTTGGAACAGCAAATTGAGCATCTGCACATGGGGTTAGACAGAAGGCCAATTACAATCCTGAAGTTCTAGGAATTATTTAACCGAGTGTAAAATTAAAATTTCCTACCATTTTAAAGTTTAAATGGATTTAAAACTTTTAAAAACTTTTTAAAAGTTTTTTAAAAGTTTTTTTCCAATCACATATAGCTCTACAATGTTCAAGATAGAAAGAAGACGCTGAAGGAGTAAAGTAGAGCAAGTGATACAATGAAAACTTGTTTTGATTTGCCTGACCTATAAACTTTTAGGGGACAAAAAAAAGTCACACACCACATGTTTAGTACTTTTTAAAAGCACTTACTGGCAAAGTTACAACTGAGGATGAACTGGGCTGTCTGTGTGTAGGGAATGAATCCAGGGTTTACCAGAGTTAATGTGTTTTTTTTAAATAGGGGTTTTTTTTTAATGGGCATGTACGGCACACATTGGGAACTTGGAGTTGTATAAAAGATGCATGCAGTTCACAGCTGAGCCAACACAATTTGTGGCAACTGGGAACTCTTTCATGTTCCAAGCGGAAGTGCGTGGATTTTGCAGAAGCAACATGCTTTCCACTCTCACAAGCTAAAGCAAGGCTATCCAACTTCTGAGCGACTGGGGGCCACATACCTTCACCCGCCTCCCCAGCCACATGCTGTGTGGGCTGCATGTATGAAACAGAGTTCGTAATTTCTTCAAGAAAAAAGAAGCTGGAAGAGGGAGGGGGAGGCCAGAGACCCCTGTGGCAGAAGCATCAGGAAAGCAATGTGGGGAGTGGTGCCTACACTGGGAGCCTAGGGACTATGAGTTAACCTGCTGCAGGCCACACAAATTGGACAGCCCTGGGCTAGAATGTGCAACAGGTGTACTGACTTGAACTGTACCAAGCTGCTACCAACAGCTTCAGAGGTAAAAATTCACACTTCACACTAGAAAGCTGCACCTGAGCCAAAAGAATCCTTGCAAGAGACTTATTTAGGTATTTTATTTAAAGTTTCTGACACTACAGACCAGATTTTAATGCCACCTGTCAGAGGTCTAAATGGGCTTTGGCACCCAAGCATGATCTTATTCCACCTACTCCTGTCCCCAAGAAGTCATCAGTGCAAAATGTGAGGGGCTGCACATTCCAAAGCCAATGATTAAGCAAAATCCTTTCCATCCAATTGGGACCTGGAAGTTCTCTCTACACCCCCATAAACACATTTCTGGGGTTCTAAATGTGTCAAATTTCCAGAGGCCTTAATTTATGGCTGCCTGTTTCACAAGTGTGTAGTTTATCCACAGTACTATAAAGTCAATGGATAATGAATGCATTCCAACTAGCTATATTTAATGGTTAAAAATATTATGTAGCCAACAGCCTTCTTCCTCCATCTTTGGGTTTGTTTTCCCAGCTCAACAATGGTTTGGCTCCCCTTTGACTATACGAATAAAATATAACTACAGTAGTATGTCCTAGCATACTATAACGTTTTGCAAAGAAAAAAAGCCACCAAGAAGCTATAATATTGGCCCTGTATTACAAACACCACACCATGTATTCATATAGCCAGGCTTGAACTGGAAATGGTTTATGCTTACCTTGGATTTAGCATGCCAGCTGAAATGAAGACTGCTGGTCTCACTGGGGATTAACAGATTGAAGGACAATGCGCAGTGATTAATAACATCATTCCTCACATAATATAACTCTGCATCAAGACCTAGAAAACAGAGTATTAAATTATAAGGCAGAAAAGAAAATCCATTTCTTTGTAGTACTCTAAGCACCACATTTTAATACAGATGTTGTGTCTACACGCCCACACTTTTCCTAATATTCTTAAATGCTAAATATAGGGTAGAAATCAACCCTCATTTATGCCCATGTTAAGAGAAGTGTTTTAATTATCATAAAATGATTAATCTTTTAGAAGAGCTCAGAGCCTAGGAATGGGCAAGAACGGTTGACATGGTCAATGAAGAGATTTTATACAAACCATAAAATTCATTTCAGGTTAGAAGGAATAGACTCATCTCACCCACTCACTGTGCACTCTCTATTTGTGTGCATCAGAGGCCCCAAATATGCCATCCTTTACAAAAGTATACATTCAAAATATGCTCTAATGGATTTATACGGAAGTAGCTGCAGATGATTTAGACTAGAATCTCTTATTTCTGGAGCACTGCCTAAATTATTCACTGAATGAGACAAGCTCCGTGGAATTGAGAGCACATAATTAGACCATAATCCTGCACATACGTCTACAAAGAAATCTTTAATATCAGCACTTTCTGCCTCTAAGCGCTTTGCTTTTCAATTTTTTGAAAACAATTCTTAATATTTCCTAAACAAAGTAATCCATAATATTACATTTGCTAGAGTTCATGTTAATGCATTCCCCCCCCCAACAAAGGACACACAGGCAAAGATTACTGAAAGAAGTAGGCATCTGCAATGCCTACTGTGGTCATGCTGAATAAAGCAGGGCCCTGTATAACTCAACAAGGGTCCCAGTTTGCAACAGACCCCGTGCTAATACAAGTTGGTTAACAGAAGCCTATTCTGTGCCTCCCTCCCCACAAGCTCTAAAATGAATCTCAGTTCCCCACTTGCAGTACAAGTTCATACAACATCCCCAACATATACCAACCACTACAATGCAAATCAACTACATTTTCCTTCCATGTGCAGGATTAAAGCACTGAAAGTTCAACACGTGTTTGAGTAGTATGCCAAAAATTAAGTAGAACAGACACTTGCCTTAAGAAACTCAATCAAAAGGCGAGGGGAATAAAATTTAATTTAATACTCTATAGAACAGTAAGGAACAGCTAAGTTTTCAGCACTGTACCTGCTGTTCCATTCAAGACCTCCAGTGAAAGAGGGAAAAACAAAAGGAATTTAAAAATGGTTTAAGCCAAAAAAATTGACATAAACCATACACACAGAAATAGATTTCCAAATAGCCTCCACTGATATACAAACAGAAACTAAAATAGTGCAGAAGGAGCTCCCTTAAGATGAAGCTAAGTTTATAAAACTTAGTTAAGGAGTGCACAGAAACACACTAACTCAGCAAATAAGATACTCCATTCAGCCCAGGATAAAACTGCACCAATTATTAAGCTTGTGACTACACCAATTAAAGCAACTCATCTTTACCTACCTTAGAATGGTTACTTTTAGAAGGTTTTGTAACATTTTTATCCCTTATGTAGCTAGCCAGTGAAACAGACTCACTTTATACAGGTACTCCTCACTTAACATCATCCCAGTTAATGTTTTTTCCTTAGTATGTTGGTGATCTATTAGAGAACATACTCATTTAAAGTTGCGCAATGTTCGGTTATAACGTTGTTTGGCTGCTGCCTGCTAGTTGGTAACTACTGTGATGTAATTGGATTTGCTTAACATTGCATTTTTCAAGAACGTAACTATGATGTTAAGCAAAGAGTAGCCGTATGTTAAAGCTGCAATCTAATGAATGCAAATAGTTCCTTAGAAAATAATGATTAAGAATAATACGAAGGCAATAAAAATAATTAGGTAAAAATTCTGCATTGTTCATTAGGACAAAAGTTGATTAGTCAGAACCACTTTAAAAACAGGTAATATGTCTACTTAAAAGAGAGGGGCTTGCTAGCTACTCTTCCTCATAAGAAGGCAGTCTCTAAGGCAGGGGTCGGCAACCCCTGGCACATGTGCCATTAGTGGCAAGCGGAGACAATTTTCCTGGCACACCAGGAGGCATGC